GATTGCAAAATAAATGTGAGGAGCTAAAATAAATTTATCTGACAAATTTATTATACCACACTACAAACTGGGATGGTATCCCATTTTATTTCTTAACTCACTCCATTTGGTGGTTTTTGTCTCCAAGAAGTTGCAGAATAAATTCGTAGAAGACTTTCAACTGGATTAAAGATTATTGGGTCAATGAAAAAGTTGTTTTTCTAGCAAGCCCTTTCATTTTTCTGATTACTTGGAATCCAAGTCTTTCACTGGCTTTGAGCTATTTGACAGCTATGAAATGTATAGACATGTATAGTAGTTCAAATAATTCTTATCCATGTAAATGCAAATTGCATCTATTTGAATGCAATAGATAACTACCCTGTAGATTCTTATCAGCAGTACGATTTTTTTTTTTAATCTACCCACATTTTGTCATTGTTTATTTCACTACTGTTTATTTGTGAGGTTTGGAATTCTCCTTTGAACTGACTGAACATCTTGCTGGTTCCCTCATTAATGAATGAACTAAGCAAACATTTTGCATGTGTTCATTTTATAATTATACAAGGACAATGATTATAACATTTAAAAAAATTTCTTTAACATGTTTTAATTCTTAATGATTATCAACGATTAAATAGTTTTCTTGAACAAATCCTTATTTCATATTTTCTTAAGTGAATTAAAACTATGATAATGAGTAATAGCTGTTTCAAATTTCAAAAAGAAAATCAAGTATATAGTGATAAGTGAGTGATCTCAGTATTGTGGAATACTAACATTAGGGATTCTCCTTCAGGAATACTGATAGTTAAAAGTTCATTATATTAGCAATCACAGACCACAACACAAGAGGTAACTAACTGGACCAACACTGACATGAGGAGTGATTCTAAGGTATTTTATTGTATAAAGTTCATCCTCTCTCCAGATCAGGTGGCACACAGTTGGCAAATCCGATCTCAACAGATGTGAAAAAGGCCTGCCTGCTTAGCAAACTTTTTTTCCTGTCTGACACCCACAAAAATTTTTTGGAGTTGCCACTTGACACCTTCAGCTAATTCACACTTTTATATTTCTGCCTCTGGCCTTCAGTTAACTTTCTGAAGTTGTGAGGAACTGTTCTAAACTACTCCTTTAAACAAAACTAAACCATTTATTTCAGTCTTTAGTTCTTTATAGCATCTCAACCACATACACTGACGTAATTTATGTGGTGAATACATATTTATATTTATACAGTTCTCCAAATAGTGGATTTTTAGCTGGAGTACAGTTGCAGGGGTGAAATGGAAATGTTACCTGCCTCTCTGGGGTTCTTCTTGAACTGGGCCAGCAATCAAATTAACATCATATAGATTAGTTAGAGGAATAAATTTAATTACCTGCATATGAGAATCTACATGGGTATAAATTCTAAAGATGGAATCAAAACTAGATTTTTTTAAATCCTGAACTAATGAATGCACAGACGCCTGGGATTTTAGGAAAGAGGAGGAGACTACCTGACATAAGGGTCACATACTCTGCAATTACACATTTATTCTGCCATACAGATAGGTTTCTCTGACTTAAAAATTCTGGCAGTAACTCTAAAGTTGAGTGATATCCCCACATTTCATTCTTCTAAGTAGTTAAGGGAGTAACAAAACTTTCCCCTGCATGTTGTGATAATCCATACGTCAAAGGAAGATGCCTTAGGAAGACCTATTCTAGATGTGTTGGGAAGGTCTATCTGAAGATCCGGGAGCTTAAATTTTCCCTATGCTGCTTTCCAATTACTCATTTAGGAGTGAGATACTTTAAATGGATGAACTTCTCTACAAATGGTGTGACAATCAAGGTTTGGAAATGCTTAATTTTGATAAGTCATTTTAAATTTCATACATTTTTTGAATGAATGTTAACATAATGATTCCAATGTTAAAATTTATGCAAAGCATAATTATTATTCTTACCTTGAGTTATGTAAAAAACTTTAACTTTATATAAAAACTAACTCTCAGATCCCTATGGAGGATTAGAAAAGGTAGACTATTTATAATATAAATCTGAGTCTGGAAAATCACATTAAAAGTGGGAAATATAGAAATTTCATGTTAGCTTTTCTTTTAAAAGAGACCATATTGTCTCTATAGTTTTGACTTAGACCTAAATAGAATTTAGGACTGATGTAATATGGTTATGATTCTGTTTAATTAAAAACCCAATAAAAAATAAAGACTTTGATCTGTAAAGAATTGTTCAAATACTAGCATAAATGTTAAGTATGTTAAAATGTAAACACTGCTTTGAGATTTACTGTATAATAAATAAAAGCAAATGTTTGCTAGTTTAGTTTTTAACTATAATGCTTCTAACATTTATAAATATCTTATCTTTTAGTTTAATGCTTTTACTAACTTGAAGAGGTAAAATCAGAACATAAGTGAGAAAAAATAAAACTATCATTTAATGTCTTACATTCTTAATATATGTTGTGGGAGAAGAATTTGATTATATTTTCTAATTCAAATGGATTAGTGTTACAAAAAGAAACCAACTATTAATGCATTAATAGTTTGCTAACTAATATCATCCTTATTATCCTTAAAAAGATAACAAATTATTGGTTTAAAATAGCTAAAATCTAAATGTTAATTAATATTATGTGATACTGAACCCTTAAGAGAGACAAAGCTTATCTTGGGAAGCCAGTACATATTTGTATATTCAAACTGAAAGTCAGTAACAAATATCATAACCTAGAGAGATTTATATCTGAAATCTACCAAAAATAAAATATTCTTGAGTATAGATAAATACTTATAACTCATAACACAAAACTGGGGTATTTCCATGATATAACAGTTACTCTCTAGAACTAACATTAAAAGATCACTTTAGGGCAGTTGTTCACAAACTTTAGGATGCTTCTGAACCACATAGGGATCTTGTTAGAATGCAGATTTTGATTCCCAGGACCTGGCATTTCTTAGAAGTAACCAGAGAAAGCCATTGTTGCCATTTACAGGACCACAGAGGAGCAACGCCATGCCTATAACTACAACGAAAAGCACAAATCCTCAAACTTCTTGCCAGATTAAGCATTTTCTTTCTTGTTTTTTTTTAAGAGATTTATTTATTTATGCATATAGAACTGGGGTACAGGCCAGAGGTGTGGGTGCAGTGAGAGGATTCACCTAAAACAGAATAGGGAGCAGTACAGGCAGATCAAGTGAAATACACTGCTAAGGGGTGCAGGAGAGGTCTGCCGAGCCATGTGGGTCATCTCCCTGGCTGGGGATCGAGCTGGTACTGAGGTGGCTGCAGATAGCTTCATAGTGCTGTGCTTTAATACATTACAGTATGAATAGTTCTAAATAAATGTGTGGACTATATATGCACATTCAGTTGGCTATTTAAAATGTTTTTTTGAATGGCTTCAGAAATGCATGAATAAAACAGAGAAACATTCTGACTTGCAGAGAAGTAATATTCAAACCAAATATTTGGTATTTCTATGACATCATCACCAAACTGTTTCTTCAGTTCCCTTCACCTGCAACAGATTCAGATGGATAATTTAGTGACCACTGTGGTTTGGCTTCAAACAAAGTTTTATGGATTCTGTATATTGATTTATCTGAGTGTTTCCAAACATTGTTTACAGGCAGCCCAAAGACAGCCTGTGACACAGAACATCCTTGGATGGTTCCAAATCCAGGAATCTAAATAGTTTTTAACAAATAATGATATATTTTAAGTGATAACACATTTAAAATTACAGCATTTTGTTTAATGGCTTGTATTGATGACATCATTGATAAATACTCTTGCATTAATGAATGCAGAAGGGTGTAGACTGTTCTTTTCATAATACAAGTGATTGTGTCTATTTTTAGTGCATGTTTACATAAGATGTTTGTGAGTGAAAATGCATATTTACACTGTGTTATGCAACTCTGCTTCCATTTGCAGGATGACTGAATTGATACACAGGATCTTTGTACAAATGAGAAACAAAAACAACTGTGATAACCTATCTCTATGATCTTTTTGATCATATGATCTTATGATCTTTTTATGGACACAAGCAGAACAGAAACAGACTAGAAACCCTAAAGGCAGACGAATAAAGAGCAAGAAGTTTTTCATCCTATAGGTAGACTGATTACAGATTCTGTTATGAGGCCACCTTAACACTCACTTCTTCCATGTAGTTTTTCAATGACTGTCCTCCACTGGAGGCTTCTCCCTAGAGGCAAAGAGGAAGAGAGGTTGAAAAAGTCAGGAGGAGAGAAAAAGAATGAAAATTGAGTGATGGCGAGCAATGAGTCTTAGAGCAACACTATTTACCATTTACTATACTCCCACCATCTGTTGATGGGTGGGGTTTCATCAGCTTGGCAACATCTTAATATAAAGGATGTAACTTTTTCAAGGCAATAATATACCTTTTAAGTAAGGATTTAAGTTCACTTAACCACCTAGAGTTCTTTGTGCAGAAGATATAAAACTAGTATAAAATGTTATTTAATTTTATAACTATGTTTTTAAAATTAGATTAAGAAAGAAATCACTAATTCTGTATTCTTTAAATATAACACATGGAATTAAAAGTACTTTGTGGAAAGAGAACAGATTGTTAACCTGCTCACTTCCAAATGTTCCTAACAAGCTTATTGATACTGCTTGTAAATTATTAGAAATTATTCATTATGTTTGCTTATTACTAGTACTTCATTAAGAATTAGTAATCACTGAGATTAAAATTAGTGAAACATATAACATGACATGAAACAAATATCCCAAACTCATCTAAACAAAACTTCAAACAACTTGTTAATTTGGATCAGTTATGTTGTTACACTACATGATGAAGACATTTGGAAATAAATTCTAGGATATCATTTCATGATAGGACACATTGCTTAGAATATAACTAAACAAGGACCTCTCTGATGGTACAAAGGGTTAAGTCTTAGCACCTTCAAGTTATAAGTAGTCAATAATTAGTAGTTATTAATAATTGAACTGAGTTCAATCCCTAGCCGGGGG